GAGTAAATCATATTAAAATTATTTGATAAATAATATTTTTTATTATATTATATTATATTAATTTCAGTTCTTTATTTATTTAATTTATTATTTCATAATAAGATATTTGATTTATTATTTATTTTACTTTATAATTTTTATACTTTATTATCTTATATAATTATTATTTTTATTTTTCTTTAATTAGTTTATTTTAATTTTATTTATTTATTAATTTTATTTTTGTATTTATTTTTCTCATTTAAAATTTATTCAATTATAACTTTATTTAATTTTAGTTCACGCTAATACATTAAATTTTATCTTACTTTATTTTAATTTAATTTTTTTCATTATTTTAAGTTACTTTAATTTATTGGAAGTTATTAGTATTATTATTATTAATTATTTAATTTACAGTAAATTGACATATTATCCTTTTATTTTATTTATTTACTTATTTTTAAACTATTTAATTCATTTCAGTATGATGTATAGATATATTTATGTTCAATAGATTACATATCCATCCATATGGCCTAATGGTTGAGCGGCCATTCCCTTCCTTTCCAACCCAGGTTCAAATCTTGTTGCCCACATTTCCTAACATTTAGGTTTTGCACATAATTCAAGGGTAAAACAGTAATTTCCGCCACTTTGGGGTGAAAAAATGAAGAAAAAGCCGCACAGCATGCGCGTGCACGCCACTTCCGTCATCTTAGACGGTTTAGGGTGTTTCGCGCATGCAAAACCTTAATAGAAGGGGGACTGACGCAATTTTTAAAATATAGGGGGGAAACGCCCAGATTTAGTATAATACAGGGGGATTTGGTGCATTAAACCCCAAATAAATTGGATACAAATCTTCTATGTTCCATCATGAGAGAGATCATCACATGACAGAGTTGTGAAATCATACAACTCCCAACTCACAAAAAGGCATAGAAATATTTAGATTTAACCTCACGCGACATAATTATAAGTTTCTCACTTTCTCTAAATAGTGTCCACCGTAATCTTTGCCATAAAGCATGCTAGTCACGGATGCCCCATATTTGGAGCACTAACCCTACAACTTCAAAATAAATTTAACTGGTGTATATCTTTAATGATATAATAAAAATATACCTTTTCAACTAGCGTTTTTTCACGAAACACAATAAGGAAAATCTCTAATGTTGTTTGTAGAAAAAAGTAAGAAATAAACAAAAAACAGAATCCTCTTTTTCACCACAAGAGGGAATGAAAGAAAAGTACCTGTCCACCAGATGCCACCAAAGCCCCAAACTCCAACACCTTGTTTAGATCAAAACTGCAAGATACAAAATTTTATCACCAAATATATTATGAGCAACCAAATACGTACATGAGATAACATCACTAGGCACCATATTGTGTAGATAAATTTTACGCATGCAGTTTAAAGACTGTCAAACGAAATAATAAAACACAGATACTATGAGATTGAAATACCTTTGAAAAGAAATGCTTCCTCCAAGTTTAGAATGGAAGTTTGGCCATGTCACGACATCTTCAAATGTAGCAGATATCCCAGCTTCTGAAATCTTTGACTCCACGGAGCTAGAGAGTTCTGTCAAAGATATATGTTTGACATTCTCTGCAATAGCTCCCACGGCATGAGCAGCAGCTACTCTGGTCTCCCACTTTTTACTCCGTAAATACTGGGACATCTATAGTAATAATTTATGCGGGTCAAGCCACATTGAAAAGAGAGAACAACAAATCGAAAAGTATTAATTTTGTTAAAATCCAACTTTTACTCCAATCAACAAAAAATCAACACTGGTGGTGCTTCTGGAGATCAATAAAATTCCTGATACCGATTTTACCAGAAAGTACTTGCATCTCTGGCATCCACACATTTCCTCTATATAACTAGTACTCAGAAGATGAACCAAAATAGCAATAGTATGACAATACTATGCTGCATCACTTGCACTTCCATGGATATCAAACACGTAGATCACCATGACTCCTAGTTTTGACCTTTGTCTACTGTCTTATAAAATAAAATCAAATATTCAAAACTGTCACATGTAAACATTATCTCTCTAAACCTCCAAACTTTCTCACAGGACACAAAGGACAAATATTGAAAAATAAAAAAATGACATTCAACTTTATTTTCATTCATCATGTAATTATATAAAGGTGATAATCAACTTTGTTTTCATTCATGTATCTTCCATCAACATTTTATGGATGATTGGGTAATCAAAAGAAAATGTAAAGAATTTGCCTCCATCTAAATTCACCAAAATTAATGTTAACAAGAGAAAAACAAACTAAATAAAGAAATGGACAAACTTTGGCTCCTTGAGATAATAATATGGACTAAAACCCTGACATTTGCAGAGACCAACCCAACCAGTTCACATTAGAAAATTAAAAGACGATCTCATTTACCTTGTTCAAAAGAGCATTGAGGTCCTGAGGATGAGATTTGGCAATCTCTCCTATCTGCCTTGCTGCTGAAAACTTTGTTGCCTGAGTTGAACCCGCTTAGCATTTGTTAAGGAAAGAATGGTTTTTCAATATGATGCAATTAATAACAATACCAGAAAATGAGAATTCAACAACGAAAAATACAGAAATATTAAATATGTTTATCATATAAAACTCTTGAGTGCATACTAGCATCACTCATACTGATCCCCAAACGCAATGCAAACTAATTAATTTGTGCAGAAACACCGTAGCCAATTTCTGAAGTCCCAAAAGAGCAACTCTATAAAGGATACTGTCCAACAGCGTTAGCAATCGATTAAGCCGCGATGACTGTTGAGCCATGTTTGGAAAGTCAGACCCAATCCCACTCAGTTGAATGCCACCCTAGTTCTTGAAAGTAATATACAATCATCAGCTATCATAAGAGAAAATGTCCCACCAACTGTCATCTCGTGCATGAAACAATGAAAGATATCCCTACCATTAACAGCAAAAGGAATCATCAATCAACAAAAAGTAGGACTTACACAAATAAATGCAATTATATGAAAATTCATCAGACAAGGAATTAAAAAGATGAGCAATAGACAGAAAAGGCAATACTACCCCATATCTGTTTAAATGAGCATAACAATTAACAAATGAGATTAGAAACTCAGAAATCTATAATTCCACCACAAATTATTCCCAATCAAGGATCAAAATACCTATCCCTTCCCAATGTTACTACGTCCGAGCATATACGCAGGATCCATTCATGCACCCATGATGAAAAATGGCATGCCACTCACAATAACATTGATGTGAACCTAGAAAAACCAGCAGACTTTTCTTCGCACATAATTTCTCCCTTCAACCAAATATTTTCTGCGAGTGTGAGTGTGACGGAGACGAGGGTTTCGATTTCGATGAACAGCAGATGATATTAATAGACGACATAAAATTCCTGAACGAACGTGAGAAAAGAAGAGAGAGAGAGAAGAAGAGAGAGAGAGAGAGAGAGAGATTTTTTTTTTTTTTTCGCGATACCGAGTGGCCGAGTCAGCCGTGCTCGAGTTGTCCCTCCTGTACAGAAATTTTCGGAGCTAAAGTATTTTTTAATTGTTCATAAATTCATTTTCTAGTAAAAAAATATATATAATATATATATTAATTTATGATATAAGGAATGATTCGTATAATTTTTGTTGTAATAACATTTTTATTTTTTACTGGTAGTCAAACAACCTCAACTCGGTTGAACATCTATTAATTTAATTTGTCCATGAGCCGGTGAAAAACCTGCAATATTGCGCGGGGTTGTCCCGTCATAGAAGTTTCAATGTTTAAATCATAAACAGTGCTGAAGAAGATTATGAATTGTATGTATAACAGAGTGTGTATAGTTGTAATGATCATATGTCACTCTCTTATATAGAAATGTTATCTTGTTGCCCAAGAATATCTGACTGGACTGCCCGAAGGCTCGAGTTACCCGATCGTACTGTCTGGGTGCTCAAATTTCTCAGTTCTATTAGCCCACGTGGTCTTTTCCATGTGTCCTTATTTTAATATATTCCATTGCATCTATTATGTGGTGTGTTCACATTAGCCTACCTCATTAAGTATTCTAAGACTGTATTTGGTAGACAAATAAGCTAGCTTATATCTTATTTGGTTAGCTTATAAGCCTCTTGTATTCAAATAAGCTCCGTTTGGTAAGACGGACTTTTTTAAAAAGCTCAAACTTATTTAATAAGCTTTTTTGGGTAGCTTTTTAAATAAGCTCGTTGAAATTTTTATTTTAGCTAGCTTATCAACTAATTTTACCAAACACTTTTATCATATAAGCTAACTTTTCAGCTATAAGTCATAAGTTATAAGCTATAAGCTCGAAAATTACTAATAAGCTATCAGCTAGTTTTACCAAACATAGCCTAATTGTGCTATTAGCTCGGTTTCCCTCGAACTAGGTTGCTCCGTCCTTCAACGAGTAAGTTTATCTCTTAGGTCGTACATCAACATATCGGCATCCAAAAATTAAAAAATTACCGCCGAACACGCCTAGGAGCTCCTAATTCCGTCTATGCTCGCCTAGGCGCTGCCTAACCGTTGGCCGTTGAGCCTGCCAAGTCCGCCTAAGAGCGCTTAAGGCCGCCTAGGCGCCGCTTGGCCAATTTTTTTGGCCGATTTGTGCAAATCGGATGCGGTCGGGCACCCCCTAAGCCGATTTTTAGAACAGAGAGTTCTTTTAAATTGCATTAGTGAAAAACAAACTCAAAATGAGGATGAGCCTCAGATTAACGCACAAGATAAGTCATCAAGCTCATAGTTCTGTTAGAAGATTGACACGTGTGCAAATATGACATCATCATTTATACATGTCATTCATTCAATGGAGTAGAGCACGGAATACAATATAAAAATGGAGTAGGAAATCTCATTTCCTTCCCAATGCCTTCCAAATAAGAAAGCTAAAGTAAAACGAGTAAGTGTCCTTTTCAACCAACTTTTGAACAAGGCTCTATAAGTAAAAAGAATTAGGTCACTTAAGTGCTATATTATTGAAGCACTTTGGTAACAATTCTTTTAAAAGAATACTCATAAATTGTTAGCTTAAAAAAGTTACAACTTTGACTCATACAAATAAATTTTATAAAAGATAATTTATTCAAAAGTTCATCCCATATAAATCACCAAACATTCATTTTTGTGGAGTTCACATATTGATAATTTGAAAACTGATCTCAAACAATAACTAAAGAGTCCATACCAATGTTCTAAAAGTCGCTAAGAGCTCGTCAGATGATGGTTTAGCGCTTAACACCTAGGCGGAGTTGTGAAAATATTAATCAATTTATTTATATTTATCATCATGGATAATTTATAATATTAATATTATAATATATATATATATATATATGTTAATTAATATAATAAATACAAACATTATGCAAAAATTAATGCGTCGTAATTATTTATTAGTTTTCATAAGATCATTAATACTTTTTTATTTATATAACTAGTAATCAACATGTGCATTTGCGCAAAGACGAATACTTTAAAAACATAAAAATATAATTCTCAAAATTGATTTTGATCAAGTAATTGCTATGGAAGAGCCGTTACAACCATTTTCACCATTTTTTTATGCTAATACTCCACCATTTTCATGAATGTGTGTGACTTAAAATTTGAGTACAATTTTGTAATTCCCTTGATTGGTTTATGATCATAATTTATTACATTCAAGCAAGTTATTTTGTAACTTAAAAATGAAATTGAATACTGAAAATTTTGGAGGGAGAATAAAATTTAATGCATGGTAATAAAATTAAATGCTTTGTTGCTCCTCTTTATATTTATGTATATAATATAAAAATTATAAGTTATATAATTGTATTATATTTCAAACATATAGTATTATAAGTTATATTTATGTATATAATATTAAAATTATAAATTATATAATAGTATTATATTTTAAAATTTGATCATTGGTTAAATACATAGTACACACGATTTGATTGTATACGAATCACTATATTGATTGCATAAAATATAATAAATATACACTTTTTATAATTTTGAGTGATTATGACCAATTAATTAGCTAAAAAATATTACATTTATTATAACAATTGCTTATGTGATTTTAAGAAATTTTACTATGACATACAAAAAAAAAAAATTATTAATAAACAACCGCTTCATCATATAAAAAAATATTGATCTTAGTAAAAAATATAATTTTATGTAACTTTCATATATTATTTTGTGTAAAATATAATTACTAATTTTAATATTAACTATTATATTATTCAATAAAAAATATAATTATTAATCAATTAACATAAAACATAATGGTTAACCCAAAAAATGTAATGAAATATTTTCTTATTAATGATATTGGGTGTATTAATGTCACATAAATAAAATTTATTAGGTTCTATTTATTAGGTTTTATTAATGATTTGCTACATAGGTCAAATTTATTAGATTTTATTTATTAGGTAAAATTTATTGCTTAGCTAGCAATTATATATATATAGATTAATGTAAATTATATGCAGTTTTTTTTCCTGAAACAAATGATTTTTTTTTAAAAAAAAAATAATCAGGAGCCTAGATCCTCGAAGACCGCCTCGCCAGCTTAGGCATCAGTAACTTCACAAACGCCTAGTCCGCCTAGACGTTGTCTAATCGTCGAGCACGTAGAATGACCGCCTAGGTAAAAATCGTATTTACCGTCTAGGCACCGCCAAGACCATTTTTAGAACAAAGGTGTATACACATTTTTAGCTCCTAGCTAGGGAAAAATAATGGAAAGAATTATATTAGAAAGATAACCATACAAATTTACATACACCTTTGAAGCATATGACAACCTATACATAGAAAATTATGTTATATACAAAATCTGAAACCGACATTGTCATGTCAACATGCTAGAGCACAACTACAAAAACTGCATGTACAACAACAGGGCACAACTTTATCTATCAGACAAGACAGAGGCACTCCATGAAAGCATTACGTCCCGAGCAACAGAAGGAAGATCTGATAAGAGGCACGAAAAAGTAAGAACTTCGATTCACATGCATGATTCAACCTTTTTTAAACATAAAATGTATATAGTATAAAGCAATTAAACCAAAAAATTATATTATTGCTTATATATATTGTATATACATGCATATGATCTTTTTCCTAACAATAATTCATGACAGTTCTAATAGAAGCTTTTATTACCTCGTGCGACTTGTAAAGCTACCGAAGGTACGTCTATTTGGTCCTCGAGCAATCTGTATACGTCTACAAGCTGAAGAAAAAGGACATTTTTGTTAGAAGCCAAGTATTTCACTAAATTGGTTTAACTTGTCTTGAAAAATGCAGTTCTTAAGAACAATTATGATATTCCTCAACACATGTTTAACAAGTTGCACCATGATGTTTGTAATTCTCAAAGTATGGCTGATTTTAGAGAGAGGAAGAGAGGCACACTGGTATTTGCATTTACGAAATATGGCTGATTTTATTGAGCGAGAGAAACACTGAAGAGCAATGTTTAGAGTTGACCCTATGTTTTACAAACCTCTTGAATATGAAGCTTGGAGTCTTCTGTGAGAGCAAGAAGAAGCTGTCTACGAATCCCTTCATCAATTAGAAACAGCCGGGTCCCGTCCTTGATAGTGTCTGTTAGGTCCAATTTCCTTGCAATTTGTAGCTCCCTAGAGCTTTGCCTGTCACAGAAGAAAATGTCAAATAACATAAGCAGCCAAAAAAAGTCAAAAAGAATGAAATAAACAGGGTAATAATGATCTAATGTGCAAGCAAGTGTTTGGTTTTCATATTTTCTGGGTCTGAGAAGATAACTATTAATTTTGGACTAAAAAAGCAAATAAATAAAATTAAATAGAATGTATGCTATACAAGGACAAGAATATGACATACATATTGTTTTTCTGCAATGCAGGGTTGCTGCTCATCTTAGCCACATTTTCTTTTGCTAAGATGATAAGGTTCTCAAGCCTTTTCCACTGGAAAACCCCATCTTTAACAAAACCTGGAAAATCAAGCCAAGTGAAAAAAAAAAAAGAAAAAAAAGAGAGAGAGATAGAGAAAAAATCACGAACATTATTGATTGCTGTAAACATTTTTGTTTTATTTTTCTTTGAACTGATTCTAAAAGGGAACACATAAACATTATCTAGCAATGACTTGCACATCATAAATCCTCTAAAATGATGCGTGTTACTGTATTTCAGAGAAAGATCGATTATTTCAATGAAATCGACTGCTGCTAATGATGCCGCTCCCATAGCTTTCATGTGGTGGGGCATAATTATTTCGATGAAATGTGATGTAAACCAGTTAAAATGATGATACCTTTGTTATTCTCACCTTAGTTGAATACACAAAAGTAAACACTTAGAGAATGTGAAGCAATGAGAACACAAGGATAACAGATTATCTGCAACAATTAAATATTATAATATATATGAACTCAACAATGTGACATACCTGAATAAGACGTTCACGTAAAGCAGGATTAGGATCTGTCAGAAGGCGTTTTGCGACATATGGATAGGCAACCTAGTATAATGATAATCAAACCACCAACAATCAATGAAAAATTGATCCAATTGAAACACAGGTGAAAATTGACAGACTTGGCTAAAGACAAATAATTCCAATTATATCAAAACAATAGTTTATATAGCTGGCTCAAAAGTTCAAAAGTTCACTCTATTTTATGTTGAAGTAGATCAGAGAAGGTTCAAGATTTCTGAGCCTCTTAACATGTACTGGTGTATAACAATAGTGGAATGAAGCTAGAACACTATATTAATTTGCCTTTTGCATTAAATTATCATTAATGCACTTCTTATTTCTCCCTCTAAGGATCTCCAAAAGATCATCAGAAGTATATACAAAAAGAAGTGAGTCGACATAAAAGTGATTTTAAGTTTCAGATTATTAGCTTATAAGCATCAGTTTATAAGGAAATCATTCTCATGAAAAGGCCTATCACCTCAAGAAACTTGAAATCAGGCTTCAGGGTGAAGCATATGCCTTCTTGAGTCAACAAAGAGCGAATAACAAGAGAGAACCTCTCTGGAATTCGAATAGGATAATTGTAGACTAGCTGGTTAAATTTCCCTGCAAAAAATGCAAATTACAATCTGGAAAACTTAGCAGCCATAAGAGTTAGGACATAAAGCTTTCATTGATCTGAAAACCCATTATATATAATTACAGTTGTTAATATGAAATGTAGGATAAATATAGTGGTTAAATGTGGTTTTTTATTTTTATGTTGATTTGTGCAGATGCGGGCCAATGGTATTGTCCATCAGTAACAATTCCTACTCTTGAAAATAAGAATCTAAAAAAAAAAAGTAAGAAACTAAAGAACCATTACAACAACAGCAATAGCAGAATTGAACTATAACATGTACTAGAACTTGAAAATCCAGCTCAGTATGTTACATGAACTTTGGCGAAATGCATGCAAAAAAAGAACTCATGGTGCGCACACGAGAGTGGGAGAGGGAGAGCGAGAGATATGATATAATAGAATTCTTTCACATCCAAACTGGAATTACAAAGAATACCTGTAACACTTCTGAAGTTAAAGTCCGATAGGCCTTTCCCAACAGAGTTCTGCCATATTGCTTCCAGAGCTGGAATTATAGGGGATACATCAGTTCCACTGGCCAGAAAACCGAGCCGAGTAAAATCATTAGCCATCTCAGCATAATCTTCGTTTACAGCATGGACAACAGCATCTATAAGAATTTGCTTATTTTGCTGTAAAGAGAAGCNNGAGAAGCAAAAAAAAAAAAAAGGCTAAGTGGTTCACCTCTACTTCAGCAGTTACAATTAAACGAAAAGATATTAACCAACTTACATAGCAGAACTTTGCAATTGCGAAACCACAACATAATTCCTTATGGAGGTGAAAAACAAAACAACTAGCATGAGAATCAATAATAGCAATCTGGGCTGCCCCCATGAAAATAAAAATTGTCTATAGGAGGTACTCAAAACTTATTTTCATTGGATATATTGCAGAAACAGTCAGCACTAACTACTATTTTCACACTAAAAAAGATATAGAGAGAAAATAGGTAAGTATTAGTGGATGTTCTGCAACAATGGTTTTGAACATTGGACTTCACATTATACAGCACCCTAGTCCTAGCTCTTCACACCAGGAAAAAGTATACACTCATCCAAGAAAAAAAAAATTATTATAAAGTAAAAATGTATAAGTACCAGTCAGAAACCAAGACAAACATATTGAAATGATTAAGTGCAGTCAATATGGCGAAGCTGTACAAAGCCACAACATGGGTACAGCTAAATATTGAATTATTAGCTATCCAACGTACATAGCTACCTGACTGAGAACAGCCACATTCCCAAAGTCCACATATGCAATACGTCCATCACGCATGGCAAAGATATTTCCAGGGTGTGGATCCCCATGAAACAGACCAAATTCCAGCAACTGTCGCAAAGCAGCACTTACTCCAACCGTCAAAAAACCATCTACGTCAATTCCTTCATTCTTGATAGCCTGTATTAACAAATAACAACTTTAAGTACACATTGACCTGTGCTGTTTTCGGAAAGAAAGAAAAAAAGTATAGTTAATAGGTATATAAACCTGAGGATCTGTGCATCGAATTCCATCAATCCACTCCATCACTAACACACGTGAACCAGAAAGCTCCTTATAGACGCGTGGTATTTTAACTGTTGGATCACCCTTGAAATTCTCAATAAAATCTTCAATGTTACGGGCTTCCTGGGGGTTAAAGATCAAGAAGGATATCAGACGATGCCTAAAGATCCATATGAAATTTTGAACTCTATATTTAACATTCAAGAGTACTTTTCAACACAAGTAGCATCACTAAGTACTCAGAAGGGAAGATAATGGAAGGAATTCGAAGTGAGCCAAATTAGATGCTGAACAAAAGGCATTTGACTTCTAGTTTCAAGGAATAAGAAAATTGTCACAAACTTCAGTCATGGTTCTTTTTTTTTAAAAAAAAGAAAAAAGAAGAAGTAAAGAGCCCATTTATGAAAAGGTAATAGTTATATTAATACCAAGGTATAATCAAGCTCCTCCAAAAGCTTTTCTCCAAATTCATCAACTATAAGCTCTGCATTGCAGCCCAGTTTTTGCAGGCTGATCCCGTTCAAGAACGATGCTAGAGTACGAAAAAGAAAAAGATCTCTATAAATAATGGGCTCTATTTCAGGCCTTTGCACCTGCAAGCATATGATTGAGATCCAATTCACGAAGTCATTCTAAAATTTAAAACTTTAAACAAGAGAGAGCACAAACAATAAACAGAGAGATGATGCTCAAGATATGGTAACTGGCAAGGAGAGCAAGGATTGTATTGTGACTTTTGAAATAGGTTGCCTGGTTGTATTCTGAAATGTCTTTTGTAGAAGTGATCCAAAGGTAAAACATGAAAAGGATAATAAATATGATACTGCTAAACTATAGCCCATTAAACAAGTTCCTGTATGTAATCAGAGAAGATTAAAACATCATTAATTTCAATAACTATAATAATATATGCATCAAGGTTTAAGAAGAAATGTCTTAAAACCTCACAACATTCTCCAGTCTCAGTAAGCAGCTAAACATACCAGCAAAAGACACCCCAATCACATCCTTTACCTACCTTTTGCATAGTTGAGCTTGATAAGTTAAGATGGTCAACTTCATGTACGCATGAAAAGCGAGGACAAACTCATGTAGAGACAACCTCAGTTCTTGAACAACATAGCTAAATTGAAAGTTGATTACTCAAACCTTTATAGCGACATCCTCTCCAGATGATCGGAGTGTAGCTCGATAAACTTGACCCAAGCTTGCAGCTGCAATTGTCTCTGATGATATTTTGCTGAAAACGGCCTCTAGAGGTTGGCCCAACTCCTCTTCTATTATGTCAAAAGCTACCTACAAAACTTTAATGATGGGTAGATCAATTAAAAGTAATATGAAATAGATGCATCAACAAGAAAATTGAATACCTGATTTGGGAAAGGAGGAACATCATCTTGAAGGATGCAAAGTTCATTCATGTAATCCTCTCTGATAATATCAGGCCTATTAGCAAGCACCTATTGCCGAGGAAAAAGAAAGCAACCATACCAATAGCCAATTCAGTAAACTGAATACTAGGTTAAGATGGAAGGGCTTCAGAATAGTATTTTTATCAGGTCCTAAATAAATAACTGAGAAAAAATAGCAGTGTGATTACCTATAAGATATAAAACAAACACAAGTAGCAGAAGATCATCAGAAACCTAGGTTCTCCAAGGCCCAAGCCCCAAGAACATGACAGATAATACAAATTTGCGAACTAGTAAATAATCTGATATGGAACTACTGAAAAAACTGATGTAAGCAAAAAAACCAAAGTATCCTTGAGTACTAGAAAGAGAAGAAATTATCCAATAATTTTCAACATGCATTGTCTACTTTTTGGCCTTCAAAACCCATCAATTTAGATTTTTTTCCTATTAGTCTAACATAATTCGATTAAACTACTCATCCAAATCTTCACTTCCTTTTGCCTATCCATCCTACAAGATCAAATAGAGCTTGGAGTGCGGGGAGGGAAACCGGGAACATGGTTATCCCTACTGACAAACACCAATATTGATGAAACATATATACACATTGAAAAATCACCTGTCCAGCTTTAATAAAAGAAGGGCCCAAGTCACACAGGAGATTCCTCAGTTGGCGTGCACGAAATGGAACAACTTCTTCATCACGGCCCACAAAACAATCATACATCAAGGCAGACCAGTAGAGTCCCAAACCCCATAAAATTTCAACACCTCTGCCAATTAATGACAATATTGAACCTCTTGACTCCAACACATTATTCCTGACCTACATAAGTACTCAAATCAGTACATATAGATGAAACATGGGAGTAAATTGTATGATAAGAGTAAAACTGAAGCAAGACCAAAAAAACAAAAATCTGAAGCAAATGTAAATCATGTATCTTGCTTTTCCTCACATGATCATCAGAAACAGTTAAATGCAAATTATAAATTACTTGAAAACAGATTATGGAGAATGGAATTTATGCTTCGATCGCAACTTCCAAAAATACATGTTTCTCTATATAAAGCCGATACCTTTATGAAAAAAAAATAAAAAAGGAAAATGGAGAATTCACAGCTGACATAAGCTAGCATACCGATTCCGGAGTGTACTTCCGAAAGGGAATACAAACACCTCTTTCAATATCCAGCTGCTCCAGTGCGCTGCTAATGCTTGTACTGAGGGGCTTCTCGACTTGTACCAAAGAATCACTTCTCTGGGCTCGAACACTCACTGGCTTCCTAGCTTTACTTTCAGATGAACACCTCCGGAAGAACTTTTCATATTTCCGATGGGTCTTTAGCTGACCAATCGCCGGCGACGCCAGTGGTGAAGATGGAGCGGTGTATCCGCAGTTACAGCAGACCAACTCCATTACTTGCTCGAGATGTGTACTGAAAATGAAAGAAAATTACTGCGGTTTCATGTAAATGGTGTGTCTGTATTTCGTTTGTAGGCTTGCAGGGAAAATGGCGTGGGGGAGGAGAGGTGGGATCGCAGCTTCCACGAGTTGCGCATTGTTCTTTAAGAGTTGTACATTGACTTTGGTGTGGGTGTTGGTGATGT